TCCATTTGCCTTTTAGTCAGCAAACATACACTTACAATTTATACAAATCTGCGACAGTGTACGTTCAGTAAAATATCTGCCAAGGACTTCAATAACACCCAGGAGTGTGACAGAAATTAAACAGCCTTATTAGAATTTACACGTGTTGAAGAAAACATGAGAGACTGTGTGGGAGAAAGCACATATGGATCCAGAGAGAAATCGGAGCACAAGTGTTTAATTGTGCCCAAGTGTGGAGGGCGAGAGCATTACTTTACTTGTTGTCTTTCGGTGCAACGAACGACAGATTTACTCGACCTGACTTGTGATGTGCTATTAGCAGATTCACATATTGCATGATAAAAATCAATTCAAGCTCGTATTTGGTAAAGAGGACTAAAATATTGTAGAAGGTGTTACAATCTGAAGGTGGGATATTATTTCTTTCCTTCTGTTGTGCTGGAAGGTGATTATCATGAAGTGTGAGGTGGAGGGATGGAGGATTTGTGTGGAAGAAATGACACTTCTGAGGAACGTTTCGATTCAAACACCCTCAAATTTTTGCCTGATAAAAGGAGGATGAATAAGAACTGTAATTGTAAGGATAACAATCCAAATAAATCCAGCTGAAATGCAATTATAGTAAAAAAAAAATAAAAACTTGTATTTTTTGTAAATAATAATAATAATAATCTACACACCGTTAAACATTCTCTCTATATAAAAACAAAATCTAAATGAAAAATGAAAATGTAGGCTTTCTCCAACTCTATATACATACAGACAATATCAATAATAATAATAATAATAAGATCTACAGGCCATTAAAATCTCTCTATATAAAAATCCATAAAAAAAATACAGGTAGTTATTCTCCAACTTTGTACACATATACAAAATAATAATACGAAAAAGAAGTAAAAATGAATTCTAATTTTATATTTGAGACTATTTTTGTTTTAATAATAATAATAATAAGTGAAATACTATAAGATTGGTTGTATGACACCTAAATGATTTTCTATTTCTCATATTCTAATATACTTTCAGTGTAGAAGTGCTTTAGTAAATCTCTCAAATCCTTATAAGTTATGAATGTCTTCAAAAGGAGCACTTGATAGCTGTGTGAAGCAGCTCTGTGTAACTGTTACAGTAAGCAGCTTCAGTAAATAACAGCAGCGCATCTAATACGATGTGTTGTGGATTAGCCCGGCTCAACCAGTGGCGCACTACGAGACAAATGCAACAGCCGTCCCGCAAAACGCTGCGCGCAGGATCCCCCTGAAATAAAGAACAAATGAGAGATAATTATGGCCGAAGGAACAGAGGTGGGGGGTTGGTTACACTCACATGCAAATGCTGCTTTGTTGCTTGCCGAGCATCCTAATACCCTGAGAGTCAAATACCTTCCTTTTTTTCCACATTATGGAATTTGTCATGTTCAGTTGGAGCTGTCATATTCAAAACTGTGCGCTAATGTGTGTAATCTGCTTTGCAACACATCAATTATGATGGATATTCCTCTAGCGGAGGTTTTTCTCTTTTTTCTTCCTTGCGTTCCTCTCGGTAATCACTCCACACTTATTAGGAAGCCTGTTTGGTAAATAATGATCTCCACTGAAGGATGCTAAACGCAAGAGTGGGATTGACGGAGTGTGAGTGAGTAGAGAAGTAAACATTGCAGGAGGGAACAGGTGTTTAGATATATCAGTGCCTCTATTTATTTGCACATAAAAATTTGTGTGTATGTTTGTGTGTGTATACCAAAATTTGAATGCCCAAACCTTTTTCTAACAATAACTATTTTTACCAGGGAACTGTGCTGTATTGCTGTACATGTACACCTACCCAGAATGCCTTGCTCAAATGTCCACCCACCCTACAATTGAGCAGTGCTGCTTTTGTATTGGTATTATTTTTTTTCCCAGCAATAATTTCTCACAATTCAACACTCCTTCACAATTTAGAATTGCAAGACTGTCTAGTTAATGTACCATTTAAATTAAATGTACACGTATAAGTGAAATGCATATGCCAAAGAAACTAGCTGAACAAAACGTCAGGATAAAATGAAACAAAAAAAATGTATATAATACATTTATATCAGGGTTTTTATAGTTATACGATACTAAAATCTATCTATCTATCTATCTATCTATCTATCTAATCACTTTTAAATAACATTTAATAATAACATTATTTTTATGGATTAAAAAAGAAATAATAATAAAAAAAAGATTTTCAAAATGCTTACTCAAAAAATGTATACCACACACAAAAAATTCACCTAATATATCAATGTCTCTTACCTGCATACCACCCCAAAAATGACAGACTGCTCACCGGAGAGAAAGAAAAGAGGAAAAAAAGATTGTGTGACTGAGAGAGAGTGTATGAGACTGAGTGAGAAAGAGAGAGTGAGTCGTAATACCTCCATCAGCCTTCAGCGTAGAGGTGATAAAAGTGAGCTCTTAAAAGCAGCGTGGCCTCTTTCACCACACAACAGAGGCCTGTTTGTTCACCGATACACCTGACACTGTGACTCCTCACAAATAAACACGCTTCAGTGAGGCCTCACCTCTCGCTCTGACTCGTTTCTGCCTGTTTCCCCTGCAAAGCTCCGTGAAGGGATGAAGAGAGGCTGCAGTCGCCGCTGGGAGCCGCAGCCAATCGCATGTGAGACGCCGCACACCTCAGCACAAACGTGATGTGATGATGGAAATCTGCCCACTGCCAGATTCTTGTACAGCTGAAGAGACCTGAAAAATGGGTAGACGTCAAAAACACATAAAATGCATGCATTATTAAAAAAAGAAATTAAATTCAAATCAAGAATGAATTAAATGTCATTATTTTTCTGCTTTCTCAAACTCTTCTGTTACCTCATCTATAAAGTAATAATACATTCAATCAATTAAAATACAATTAGCATTAAAACAAGACATAGATGCAACAAGATATAGTGTTCATAATTGTATTTTATTTAAAAAAATGTTTGGATATGTACCATGGTTTAAGTTCTCAAGTCTTTTTTATAGTGATCTTTTTTTTTATTAACATCAACATCAAGATTGAAGTTATTAAATTACATGAATGTATAAGAGTGCTGTGACTGGCCAACATTTATTTTAAGTTTCCCTAATCTTTCTGCCTTCATTTTAAATGGTCCTGCTGTGTGACGAATGAATTTTTTTAAAGTACAAATATTCCATGTAGTTTCTTAATTAATATGAGGTCATAAAGTGACATGAATTATAATTATATAATAATTAGCATAATGCTGTTTAAAATGGTTTTGGAAGATCTAGAATGTCCCACTACACTCTCAGAAAAAAAAGGTACAAAGTTGTCACAAAGCTAAAAGGTACATCTTTGTACCTTATTTACCCCTAAATGCTACATATTAGTACTTTAAAAGTACATATTTGTATCTAAACATATACATGATCATTCAACTTCCCAATAATTTACCCAAATACCACAGTACATCATTCAGTATCATGGTATTACTATCACTGTACCATGGTACCACCATATCTTTTTTTTAATTGTATTTTTTGAAGAAAACTACATATGTGACCCTGGACCACAAAACCAGTCTTAAGTCACTGGGGTATATTTTTAGCAATAGCAAAAAATACATTGTATGGGTCAAAATGATTGATTTTTCTTTTATGCCAAAAATCATTAGGATATTAAGTAAAGATCATGTTCCATGAAGATATTTTGTAAATTTCCTACTGTAAATATATCAAAACGTAATTTTTGATTAGTAATATGCATTGAATAGAACTTAATTTGGACAAATTTAAAGGTGATTTGCTCAATATTTAGATTTTTTTGCACCCTCAGATTCCAGATTTTCAAATAGTTGTATCTCGGCCAAATATTGTCCTATCCTAACAACCACACATCGATGGAAAGCTTATTTATTCAGCTTTCATATGATGTATAAATCTCAATTTCAAAAAAATGACCCTTATGACTGTTTTTTTCACATATGACAGAACAGAAAAAACATTGTGACAGTAGATTATCTTTAAATGGCTGTTCTGTATTTGGGCTTGTATAAATGAGGCTCTCCATCTCCTTCCCTCACTTGGCGCTGTAACCTGGATCAGTCCTGGCAGTGTAAAGCAACTGAATGATGGATATCTGAAACTCTAGAGTTCTGAACTGATCACAGTCAGATAGGATAGTTATTAAAAAAACAGGCTCACAGGAATGATTGTGGTGAATGAAGAAGTCCAAGAAGATTGGCACGTCTTCATTTCTTTCAGATCTGTAACTTGAGGAGAAGAATTTAAAATTGATTTAATGTGCAGCACATACTGTGCCTCCAAGAACTATTTGCAAACGTAAGGCACACCTATAAAGGTCTGAAAATCATTGTGTAACTTTAGAAAAAAAGAAACCCAATGTAATTTATTTAACCCTTATGTTGTGTTCTGATCATTTTGACCCGCAGAGGATTTTCTTTTCTCCCTAAAATACTATTTAACATTATGGCATTGGAATAAAGCCTACGGACCTTACATACACACAAAATATACATACACCCCCCCCCCCTAAAAAAAAAACAAACAATTTTTTATAATTTGGTAACACTTTATTTTTGGGTCTCTTAACAAGTTGCTTATTAGCATGCATATTACTAGAATATTAGCCATTTATTAGTACTAATTAAGCACAAATTAATGCCTTATTCTACATGAACTTATTCTTCATCCCTAATCCTACCCAAAACCTAAACTTAACAACTACCTTACTAACTATTAATAAGCAGCAAATTAGGAATTTATTGAGGGAAAAGTCGTAGTTAATAGTGAATATGTGTTCCCTATTCTAAAGTATTACCGATAATTTTTTTACCGATTTTTTTCCCCTCACCTTGTTACACTTGAGGTGTTCCCAGTCAAAAATGACCGGCCCACAAAAAATTGCTTATAAATTTCTTTTTATCACCAAATATTGGATTCAATCTTTTTATCAAGTTGTATTCTTTCAATTAACACAGGTTTTGTATTTCTTTTTTGATCTGACTGATCATAGGTCTCACTGGTCTAAGCTTATGCACCTCAGTTTTTGAGTGAATATTGCCAAAAATATCCACAAATTATGCTTTTTTTTCACTCCAAAACTGAGATCAAGCTCAGATCAATGAGACTTATGACAAATCAGTTTGAATATTTGGCAATAATATAGAATATATAGCGTTACAAGAAATTTGCAAGCAATTTTAAAAGGCTGGCCATTTTTGATCAAATTAAGTGTTTAGCTCTAAAAAAAATACAAAATTTCACTTTGCAATCAAAACATTAGGCAAAAAAGGAAATGTGTTAGGTTTTAAATTATAATACATAAATAATATACTGCAAGACAAATGTATTTGGACAATTTGTAATTGTCAAACATTTTTAAGTGTCAAAATACTTTTTAGGGCCCTTTCCTCTGAATGAAACATCAATTCTATGCCAATCTTCTATGGCTTCTTTCCAATGTAACTGTATTGTTTTGAAGATTCCCATTTTCCTGTGGTTTTCTCAGCCAAAAAAAAAAACAGGATATGAAGAAATCACACATGTTCCCCAGAGAACAGCCCTCTCACCTGCTAATCAGTTGAACTTGGATATCGACGCACCTGTGGGGGGAAACAGGGGGCCGCAGTACTCAAGGTAAGCCGTTCCACACAGCTGTGAAGGGGATGTGACACACCTGTGGATCAGCGATAGGAAAACATAAACTACATCGCATCTAAAGACAGATACGTTTTCACTGAGCTCACCAGGATCGAGCATATGGAGCACGCAGAAAATGCCTAATTTTATCTAAGCAGACAGCTGATGACCTGCGCATAAACACTTCGTAACTGCAAAAGAAACATGCGGTTCGCCGCAGACAGCACGCCATAACTGAGATGCCTAAAACAGCTTCAGAAGATGTAAACCCAGCACTTTTTGGACCAACAGTGTTTTGAAACTGGACCTCTCAGACCAAACGGTTTAATCAGAAAAGTGTTTTACTTCAAATCAAGCAATATGTTCCTTCTCCTACAACAACCTGCTAAACTAAATATAGCATGTGGCCTGTGGTGTCCGTGCCTCATAATTCAGTCTGGATCGCTCTTGCAGACAAACACAGAAATGTTATTTTCACACGTTCCTTATCACCCATCCGTGTTGCAGGATTTAGCGCTAAACTAACACCTGCAGGTCAGGTGGCTTTGCTCAGTAAACAGCTCGTATGTTAAGAAAGATGTTATGCTCCTGTCAGAGTGGCCACACCAGGTGGAGCCGCCAAAGTCACTCGTGTTTTGATATAAACCAACTGCCGAGCACCAATACCTGTTCAAGGAAATCAGCTAGAGCAAACAAATACATCTCGGGCCCTACTAACACTGCCACATCTGACAACCATTAACCATGTATCAATGGATGAGAGAGAGAGAAAGAGAAAGAGAGAGTGAGAGAGAAAGAGAGGGGGAGCGAAGATTTAAATTGGCCAGATCTAGTTTCACAGCTAGTAAATAAACGGAGATCCAGGCATGATCCTTCATTAGTGATGGAGGGGCCCTGGAATGTTAACGGAAAGATGCACACCTGCACTAAAGGGCCACAGTCACTCCACTACAGTAGACTTCAGCCGATCATCTGAAACACTGGAAACAAACAGCTGAATTTCATTATTTCACACTAAACTGAATGCATTCTGTAACAGGGGCCACTGACTCTCATGTAAATGATTTCATTATACACTCAAATTTAGGTTTAAAAAAAAACCCATTACTCCAGTTCTCAGTCACATGATCCTTCAGAAATCAGTCTAATTCAGTTTTCACTTCATTTCATAATATCAGTGTTGAAAACAGTTTCACTGCTTTTTTAAGCTTTCATCTTTCACTTGGATGTTATAAGTTGCACTGAGTAAATACAGCTTGATAAAATAAAAACTGTCCTCTTCATTTCAGGCTGCAAAGCAACAAAATGTGATTATTTTAAAGCCTGTAGTCCAAATGGTGCATTATAATGCACTAAAGTTTGATCAACAGTAACAGGAATCATTGCAACATGCATTGAGAGAGGACTGCCAAACTTTCACTGCCAGAATAAAATAACAATTGTGAGTCAATAACATCCCCTTTTTGAATACAACAGACCAGATGAGTGCATCAGGACTCATTTAACAAAAACATACCCTAGATTTTATTTCCACTCAGTTCAGCACAGTTCTTTGCTGATGAGAAATTTGCTGCGTTAAGCGATTCCAGAGTGCCAGGGCGACTGAAGCACGCTCAAAACACAAGGAGGTCTCCTGGGAACGCTACATTTTTACAAAGCAAGGAAAGGCTTTTGCATTGATGGCTGAAAAGTGAAAGGCGCACATATTGGTAACAAGGCCCTCCAGAGCAAGCGTCTACATCAACACAAAGCTAGAGAGAGCAGAAAAGAGCGAGACAGACACGAAGGCGAGAAAAGGTGGCTCTGCGCTTGTTTCAATTGGCACACCTGCTTTGAAAAACTTGGCTCAAATAGAGAGGTCTAAAAGTTAATTACACCCTCGGTATGGCCAAGAGAAATGTTGCTAACTGACGTAACCTGATAATAATTTCAATTTTGCTGACAGTTATAAACTCATCAAGTTGCAGCCTAGGGCTTGCACAAAGAACGCCTGTGTCTTCAAATTCAGTCCCACGACTAATTCACTGCTACTCTTGACTGTCTAAATTAGCGTCTTAAATTATAGTACGAAATATTTCCTGGTTAATAAAGAGCGTTCACAATGCACATAGCTGTGCACGCTTGCTTTAGTGTTTGTGTTGCAAAACGTGCTGAAAACAGCATTAAACTTAACACGCAATCGCACTTAGCACCAATTTTGTTTCCATGGCGCACAGAAACATGAGGCACAAACACACACAAGGGAAAGCGTGAACGTCTGTTGTTTGGATGCCAGTGACACTGACATAATATAATTTGTCCAACTTTTCTCACTGTAACTTGTCAACTACTGGCAGCAGTTGTGTAGTATGTGATCTTATATGTTTATTTAAATTTGCATATACATACAAAACGAAGCACTGTTGTTGTTGAAAAAGGTGGTTTATTTGTGCCAGTAGTCTCATGAAATCATGCAATGTGTTAAAAATATACAATGGGAAAAAAAATCATGGAAAAATAGGGCAAAATGTACTGTATTAATAAGAAGGAATTTTCCGTATTGATTTTTTACAGGTGTTTTACCTGTATTTTGAATTTCATTGTGTTGTGTTTTAGGGTTAACGGAAACGTCTGTAAAATTAATGGATAATGTCCTGACAGAAAATTACATTTTTTTTTTTACAGTGTAGTTCACCCCAAAATCAAAAGAAAGAAAAAAGGAAAAAATATTTTGCTTAAAGAAAATGTTTTCGAGGATCATTAAGGTATCTGGCTTTGTGGCACTGTTTTATTGATAACTAAGCACATTTAAAAATAATAATAATAATAAAAATAACGGCATTGATACAAAAGGTTTTAATTGTATAGTGAGAAAAAAATATTTACAATTATTTATTTAAAGTGTAAAGAATTATTTAATAATAATAATCATCATAATAAAATGTAACAAAAACATTAAAAATACTTTAGTAACACTAGAAAGTGTTTTAGTTATGAGAATCTAATAAGAATCACCATTATTGGAATAAAATAAAATAAATTAATTTAAAAAAGGCTGGACGAAATGATTATAACACAATGTTACATTGCAAAAAAATAAATAAAAGAAATAAAATATTAAAATATAAAATAAAATAAAATAAAAGGTGATCTGGATTTGTTTTCATTTTAATAAGCTTTATCCAATAAGACCATGACAAACACATTTCACCATCTCTGCCAAGGAAAACAGGGGAAGCAGTAGAACAGCTTTTTTCTTTCTCTACCCCTCTCTCTCAAGGTGTTTTTTTTTTTTTTTTTGCGTGGGTGTCCGACTCAGGAGAGTTCATGGGCCTCTCCGCAGAACAAAGGCTTTCAATCACACTACACAACACCACCCACATCATCCTGCTTTCCACTGCCACTTATTAATATTAATCACCGTCAGAAAGTAAAAAAATAAATAACTTGCTTTAGTGCTACATTTGTAAACATATGAGCACAAACAAATAAATGTTAATATAAAAACAAATTAACTACAGAAGTTTGTGATTGACCAATCAGAATCAAGTATTCCAGAGCACCATGTGATAATTACACACATAATCACTCACAGCTCCAGCCCTGGTACAGACATTAAAGTGTAATTTAATAAGGGACTCTGAGAATCCTCCATAACTGTTACACATGGGATTTTATCTCAACTACAACTTCTCAGATTTCATTGCATCATATCTGAGCTGAAGACACAGCAGAATGGAACAACAACCGAAAAACTGTCACAGCCAACCGAGCGCACTTCCAAAATCATCTGAGCAAACTCACCACAACCTGCTAAAACACAGCAGAAACACTGCGGCATCTAATGGCAAAGCCCTAAATAAAGGGGTCGTTGCTTAAGAGAGTCAAACGCAGAAAACTGACCATGTCAGTCAAACCCTCCCTCATTACACCAAACCCATCATGCTCCAGTACTGACCTTAACACTGAATCTGTACACACATGCCACATGTGTCATAGTCATAGTCACAGACAGACAGCCAGTGTGTGTGTGTGTGTGTGTCTGTAGATTTCTTTTGGACTGAGAGGACAGCTGAAGGTCACGTAGACGTTGAGGCAATCACCCTAATGAAAACAAACGAGGGAGAGTCTGCTCGCTTTCTCCGTAATCAAAACACATCAGCCAAAGAGATAAAGAGAGAGATCTAAAGGGTCAGTACCTCAGCATTGTTCTTTAATTTACTGTTTCCAGTTCAGGTCCACTCGAGGGGAGATTTAAAGGCACATGGAAACAAAAGGGGCTGAGAGAATAACTCCAGCACAAACACAGAGGCTGGAGACTTTACAAGCACAGTTGATTTACGATCTCATCTTTAAATAAGAGAGAATGATGCACAAATGCACATGAACAAGTGG